GGAACGAATTCCTTGGTTTGCTGTGCTTGTGTGCACAGCTTTTGTTTTACCTACTAAACTGTCTTTATATCAATCCAAAGTTTTCTCACCTTTACTCTTCCAATTCTCTCCCTCATCCCATGGGGTGGGGAGTGAGCCAGCGGCTGTGTGATGCTCAATTGCCTGTTGGGGTTAAACCATGACACTTTTGAAGGCAGAACGGAAAAAATTTAAACCCTGCCTTTGAAAAGCACATTGAGGCTTACCAGTTTACTTTATTCACCAACACATATGCATTTATACAACCACTGTCCTATGGATTTCAACCACTTCTACCATTGAAGCAGCCACAGAATTAAAAATCTGCGTCAGAGCTGAACACTCCAGTTTTAGACAGTTTTAGGCTGACCATGACTTCTTACAGATATTCTTACAGGGAAGAAGCCACAGTAAGTTTTCAAGTCCTAAGCAATGCCAGTCTTGCTTGGGACCTGCACTGAGGAACCAGGAGAACCTTTCCAGTCCTACACTTTTATGCATACAAAGTACAATCACATCAATACATCTCCACCTCTCCTCAATATACCAAGAAACAAGTACCCCTTCACTCATTTCAGCATGGAATGAAAAAATAACCACTTCAGTACACACCAGAGGGAGGGAGGGAGGAGAGAATACTTCAGCTGGCCCTTGATTCTTACCTCATCCGTCTCCTTACCCATGACTTTCTTCTGCAAGCCATCTGGATACAGAGAATAAAAGCCTTACCCTGTCCAGAACTCCTTTGCTCTCCAGTTACATGAAGTCTTCTAGCAAACACACTTTGCCAATTTACCCAACAACTGCCTCTGACTGCCTATGCATGGTCACAGTATCCTGATGTCTTAAACATCCATCCTCTCCCAGCTGATTTCTCCAAGCAGGATCTTGAAACTTAAGGCCAGACCATTCTTCCCCCCCCCCCCCCCCCTTTTTTTCCCCCCTCCCCCCCCCCCCCCCCTCCTTTTTCCTCACCTTTTATTTTTTAATGGAGACAGGCTGTTCCTGAATACAGGAGATGCAAAGGATATGCCTTTCAAATCCTAAGCATTAGTATCTCTCTCAGCCCTGAAACATGCTGCATGAGAAAAACAGGTAAATACATTTTTAACTCAACAGCCATAAAGCTCTGCTAACACAAGCTGAGCTAGCAGGTTTGAACAGTTAGATAGAAACAACTTAAAGCAAAAAAGCAGAATTGCATTATCCAGATAATAATGTCAGTGGGCTAATAAGAATAATTTTCACCTATGCAACAAATACAGTAACACTAAGCCCAGTCACCACTAAATTGCTATTTGGACACCATAGTTAAAATTCATTTCTATTTATGTATTCAAATGCAAACAGAAATACTAAAAAAAAAACTGCCATAAAAAAAATCTATGATTTAAACATATCAAGAAAAATTGTTTCATAATACAGTTCCTCACAGATTTTACTGGTAGTTTAGACTAGGCTTGAAGGGTCTACTGTGTTTCTCCCCTTCATTTCTGAAAAGTGACACAGCAGCCAAAAGTAAGCTTCCAAAATACCTCAAACAATTCTCTTTCCCAAAAACTCACATAATGAAGAACATCCAGAATGAACAGAATACATTTCCTCTCCCTCAGTATGAGAGGAGCTTTCACAGCAAATAAGTGATAACACCCTGAAGTATTTTACAAGCATTCATTCACATCAACATTCTAGCGATACATGGGCTTTATGGCTATTTGCATTGGTGTACTAGGAATCCAGAGATACTTCAACATGGCAAACATAAATCACTCAAGGTGACAGAATCTCCTATATGAGGAAATTACAATCCATTTTGGTGGCCACTGGGGTGACCAAGAAAGGAAAAAAAAAAGTATCTTGGAAGCTGCCCACATCAGCTCAGAAGAAATCAAGGGTGAAAGGCACAGTATTCCGAGAATTTCTAACCAAGTATTCTGCCTTTCTGTCTCTCTCTTGTTGCTCTGTTTTGAATGTCATACATTTATTCCCTGATAGTTTTCAGCCTTTGGCAAAGCCTTGGAACTGAGTTTGCAGACCCGAATGCCAGAAATGCCAAGAGTAAAATATTCCTCTCTAATTTCCATGAATTCCAGTAAAGAAGTCTCAGTTCCTTGCACAAGTAGTAAATCATTGATGTTTTGTTTTTTGAAGAACTATAAAAGTTAAACGTAAGTAACTTAGTAAAAGTTTCTGAAAGTCAATCAATTGCAAAGCTGGAGAAAACTCCAGGACCCTACCTGCAAGACTCGAGCTTCAGTAATTACTGTGCAATACTGCTTTCCGTGTCGCACCAACTTCTCGCAGCACCCTTACACCACCAGCATGGCATTAATTTCATACAAACCCAGTAACATTTACATTCATTTAATAACTGGCCCAACAACGATACAACTCTGTTCTCCCAGACAGCCTGGGAGAGGTTTGTAATTAGTAACCTGTGCAGCTCTAACTAACATTGGCCCAATACATTAGCCTTCAATATTTTTAATGAAAAAAAAATGCCAACCACATTTCACAGTATTTTGGCTTGAAGAGCAGAAGTAGCTACAGGCTCTATGGCCAGCCACTGCTTAAACACTGACATCTGCTTGGATTAACCTCAGCAGTTTAGTAAACACACCGTATGACTAGATATTTCATGACTGTGCCAAAACCCATGTTTGTCAGAGGTCAAACAGAGGATCAGATTAACCTCAACGTTTTTGAAATAGGAGTAAGAATTATTTGAGAAAACCTTAAAGTCTGCTTGTAGTTTTTCCAAGAAAATATTTTGTTCTTAAAAAAAAAAAAGAAAACGAAGACAGGGATACAACTCATACTACCCAGATTTCCTGCAAGACTGCCTGTGTATTTTGGACCTATATTAAGGAAAGGAACATATCTGCATAATCTTCATTTTTAAAGAGCATTCTAGTAAAAAAAAAAAAATCATTAAACAAATTTTATATTTCTACAGAGTCTTAGGATAATTCGCTGCATGACTTTCTACAGAAGCTTTTAATTTTTATTATGTTATTTATTTGGAGGAGAAAAAGCCCCAGAAGATAAAGTAACACTACTTACAAATACAATTTTGCTCTTTTGAAAGCCTTAACTCCTTATCTATTTCTTGGCCTCCAAGAAGTCATGGCTGCCACCTCTCCTCTTCCAAAACAAGCATCAGCACGAACAGGCTTTCCGATTTTCTTGTTAAATCACTAGCAAACAAAGGCATTAACAGTATGATGAACAGAGGCCAGATAAGGAAGAAATAGGACTCCAACACACACATCACGCAAACAGAGATGCCATTCACAGCAGCTTCTGCACTTTCATGAGAATTTTTTTTTTTTCCAGGCATCCCTTATATTGCAACCAGTCTTACGGGAGAGTCACGGTTAATAGCCCAACAAGATGAAAAAGGGACACCCTAGGCAGCTTTTGTTTCAGACTCCAAAACACATCACTAGGAGCAACATCCATTGAACATACATTCAGAACAAAAGCCAGAGATATTTCCAAGTAAAAGCTTAAGTGTTTCATGTGTTCTAGAATCTAAGCGCCAACCCAGTTTAACTCCTTATAAAAAAGCCTCCTACTGGACTGTTCTAGCACTAAATTAGATCTACCTGCTAGTTTGTTTTTAGTTAAAAACAGTCATCAATTTTTTGACTTTACAGAAGGGATGGGTCATTGTACTTTTATTAATAAAAGTCACTATTTTTGACACAATATAGGCAGGTAACTACTCATGGAAAGACAGGGTGGGCGTACAGGAACCTACCTTGTGACATTCAGCAAGGACAAACATTAAGATCTGCACCCTGGGAGTGACAAACTCCCTGGCCACTGAAAAATTCCCTGGGGAACAGCTCTGCAGAAAAGGACATGGGAGGTCTGGCTAAACACGAGCCAACAGCATGCCCTTGCAGCAATGACAGCTGACAGCATTTGGGCTTATCAACAGGAGCACAGCCAGCTGATGGAGGGATGCAATTACACCACCCCACGCAGCACTGGTAAGACCACAGGCAGAGCACTGTACCCAGTTTGGAATTTGCCAGTGCAAGACCAATATCAATGAACTGGAGTGAGTTCAGTGGAAGGCCACCAAGATGGTCACAGGCTGGAAGACTTGCCCTGTGAGGAGAAGCTGAGGATGCTGGGCTTCTTCAGGCTGCAGAAGAGATGGCTTTGGCTGGGGGGACCTAATACCAGCCTGCTGCTACCTGCAGGGATGTTAGCAAGAAAACGGAGCCAGACTGTTTAGGGAGGTGCAAGGTGGGAGAATAAGAGTTAAAAAAAGACCAATATAACTCCAGTCACAGCAATATACTGTGGACCACAGGCTGTCCTCTTGCATAAGATCACTGTTCCCATTCATTTTAATGAGATGACACACTAAGATCTATTTTTAATTAGCCTCTGTAAGTCACTTCTAAATGCAACTCTAAAAGCTTCGAGAGCCAACAGTTTAGCCATTTCAGCACAGCTATGCAAATCCATGCCATACCACCTAAAATAAATCCTCCTGGAATGAATACAAATTTTGACCAAGAGACAAATAATCTTAAAACACCAATAATGTTCATTATACTTTACAGATAAAGAAAGGTACATAGATAGACTAGTTGCTGGAATTGTTGAAGACCTAAGAAACTATACTAAGTCTGTAAAGCACAAAGTGCTTTAGGAAAAATTTTTAAATTCATCTTCTTTATGTCTTTAGGTTCTCAGCCCTCACTATTTTACCACTGTCAAATGACTTCCTTATATACTCATTTCTATTTCAGTTTTTGGACTTTAACCAGAGATGTCTAAATATTGCATACGATCATTTTTAAATCCATGGACTATATATTGAAACGCCTCCTCTAGGAACATAACTTTACTTAATGAGCTTCTTGGAGTTTCTCAACTCCACTGAAAAACCTTTACTTAGCAAGCTGCCATACCAGAGAGACTGCAGACACCTTAGCATTTCTATAATAAAAATATGAAGTTCCTTCTTTACCCACCTCCATTTCAAATGCTCCCTTAAAGAAGTTTTAAAGTATCTTCTGAAGTAACATCCTTCACTTCTTTGTCAACAACACACTAGATTTTTTTTTCCTTACTGATAAAGGATACTTTTCTCTTCACATACTCCTCCTCTCCAAAGAGCTAGAGTATTTCAAAAGGGCTCTCATTTAAGGACACAATTTAAATTGAAAAAGCAGTTACAAGTTTTGGAAAGAAAAAGTTTCATAAGAGTCAGGATCTCATGTTAACAAATAACAGAAAAGAACACCCATTTTAGTTCTAACCAATGGTAAACATTGCATCAAGAGAAGTAACGTAATAGTCCAGTCTGATTAGAGAAAGCAAGTACGCTTGGATTAGAAACATGAGCTTACCAAAATCCTACTGCTCAGTACTGAGTAAATAAGTGCTATACAGTAGACAGTTTCACACTGCTGCAGTGTCCTCATTCCCCCCAAAAAAGCTATTGTTTCCCAAAGCACCCTTATAGACACAGAATTTTCTTACTATCCCCCTAACAAACTTTGCACCACAGGGCTGCTTGGCTGGATATTACTTTAAGCCATCTGGCATATAAATACATGTCATGCCATTCACGGAGTCCTAAAAATACCTTCTTCCTTTTTGTTGCTAATACTTTCTTCCAATTGAAACAGCGAGATTTTCTTTTCATTAGCAAAACCAGCACCCAGGGAAGCCAGAATGTTCATGCACCGTCTCCAAAGATGCATGCATTTTGTAATACAGCCCTTCCTTCTTCACAAATAGCTTAGAAAACAAAGATCTAAAACCCCACACTGACAAGTTGTTTTTCAATGCATCTCTCCCACTTAAAAGATCCATGTATCCAAATATTAGTTTAACAACCCTCCAGCACCATATACAAATGCAAAATGTAAGAGAGCTTACAAGGTCAACTACACACAAGTAAGCTGCTTAATACCTTTTCTAAATGTTCAAAATCTACTTAGCTGTTCCTTGCATTTTGTGTCTGCAAAGCTCACCAAAATAACAGTAAAAATACAGATGCATACAAAATAATTCAATAAGGTATACTTCTACGTGAACAGCTGAACAGAAGAATGCTCACCTTTTTCCAGAAGAGTCGGCACTAAAGAAGCAGTGCAAGGTTACATAGTGAAAACACATTTACTGCAGTAGCAGTCAAACCCAGTTGGTGTCTTCATTCTCAGTGAACAATAAAACGCTGAGCCTGAAACTTAACACTTTGTTGCTGAGTCCTGTTTGCAAGTCCTAACTGGGAATGGGGTAACAAACACAAGGTTCTCTATGACAACAGGCTAATTTGGATGGGTCTTAGGACATGAATGCTGCAAGGCTATTTCTCATTTGACAGCATACACTGCCCCAAGAGCACCAATCTGTTTTTTCTGTTTGTTTAGAATTGTTTTCTCTCTCTCTCTTTTCTCCCTCCTCCCCCACCCCAGCTGATGCACGATCCGTACAGATTCATGCACTTGGAAGCAAGACTGGTCATTTTACTGCCACTCACTAGAGAAGCGTAATCCATCAGTGTAGTTCCAAGGCATTCCTTATCACAGTATAAATGGATTAGACCATAGTAATGCTAGAGAAAACAATCACTAAGTTTGTACACAAATTTCAATTTGAAAAATTCCTTTACTCCTCTTTTTCCAAATCCCTAATAATTTTATAAAATTTCCACATTTTGACTGAAATTTTCTAGGTATGCTTTCTGTTCATCATAAAAAAAAAAAAAATCATCAAAACTGCTCTGGGCTTTTTTTCTAGTCTTTTACAAGCAAAGTGAAAACACATTTTCAATTCTAAAAAAAGAAAAAAGAAAAAGTAAAAATTTAGACTTCATTTGTACAGCCCTCCTGCCAAAAAAGCCGGCAGCAGATTTGGCAACAAAACAGACCTCACTGAAGTACTTTTGTGTGGGACAGTGAAAACTGGGGTTGACCAGTCTCAATTTTAAACCTGTGACTACTGACCACAGACACTGCATTTTGCACAGGTTTTTCTGCAAATCCCAGCTCTACAGTTAGCTCTAAGCAGACATCTACTGTCCACTTGTGCAGAACTCGGTACTGAAATCAACAGCTGTATGCAAAATCTACACTAAACACATTTGCAAACTCAGACTAGAAACTTCAAAAGACTATACTTGTACTTGTATGAAATGCAAAACGGCTGCAATTAAGTTACTACTAGTACTACAGAACAGGAAACGCTGTAATGCTGACAACGAGAATGGTTGCGTTGCACCTTATCCTGCAGAATCAGATCACAGAATTCATAGACCTCCAAGCTTACAAATCATATAAGGCTATTTCATTTATCTCTTTCTGCAGGGTTTTCCTTTCCAATACGCAGGAACTTGTAAAAATGTGTAATTTCTAATGTAAAAAGAAGTGCCACGTTTGGATCCCAGACATGTTACACTCACTTACAGTCAGGTATCAGAAACTGCCACAGGAAGGTAACACTAGCCCGTCAGTTACTTGCTGTAGCACTGCCCATCTGCCCTTGCAACTCAGTTTGGTTAGACCAGGATCAAACACATTCATAGAGCTTGAGTAACTGATACTAGTATACATAGGCATTATTTGTTTAAAATAAAAGAGATGAAACGTAGCACCAGAAATGTGAGTGAGGTTAAAACAAGTTACAGTTTAAATCCACAAGCTGCCTCTGAGAGGAAAATATTTAACCCATTCTAAACTGCTCAGAGTTCTTAAACTCCCATTATGTTTCTCCATGCTATTAAGAGATGCACTATCTTAGAGATTTGGTCAATACATCATGTCCTGAGTTTTCCTGGGTGAACGGCCATTGTTAAAAAAGTAGAACTGAAAGAAACACTAAAAGCAGGTGTTGAATTGAATTCAATGTCCATTTGCATTTCTCATGTCCAGAAACAAAGGTCACTTCAGGTTTTTCACTCCAAGCTTTAGCACAGAGTCTGCAGTATCCATGCCACTTGGAACAGCTGAGGCATGGGACTTTCATTGTTCCCAGTGAGGAACTCTTTTTCCTCAGAAAGACCAGAAAACTCTGCTGTCTTCTTGCTTTTGGATCCACTTTCTCAACAGAAGTTTAAAGTCATTTCTGTGCACAGGTTTCTCTCTACTTCCCTCATTAATATAAGAGGGGAATCCTAAGGATATACACTTACAACGTATTCTCACTACAACTCACTGACTGAACCAGGACACCTCTATTGTTATCCAATTGATCTGTGGGACATTTGGGTTGAACTATTTGCTCTGCTACAGATGTTGATGAGAACCTTGGCAACTCCCTGTCTCAGCTCACACCTATAGGAGCTACAGCTGAATGATGTGTTAAGGCAAATACATCAAAGGTTCTGATGCCACAATAACCAGAGAGGATAGAAATATCAAGCAGGGCTTTGGGTTAGGGCAGCAATAACTTATTTGTTCTGCTCCCTCAGCAAGCCTACTTCTAAATTATACTAGTAAGCTCTTAACGTAGGAAACATTCTTTTTCCCTTCTTCAGCACAATACAGTAATACTAACAAAGAGGTACTATAACCACACATACAGATGGAGTCAATGAAAACACTTTCACTTACACATCTAAACTAAGCTATCAATTTAATATAAGTTTATCTTGTCAAATACTGTATTTAACAACAGGGCATGGAGTTTTCCAAATATGTAAGTAAACAGACCTTCTATTAGCATGCTTCTGAAAAAAAACATTTTTGTGGACATTAACTGTTGGATTAGAGTGATAAATCACAAGCATAAAGAGATTTTACACTGTCTGTAGGCAGAACAAACTTCTGCAAGTCACGCCAAAAATTAGCTTTCTTTGTCTTTCATTCCCTTCTACATGATCTTACAGACTCAATTCTCTCCTTCTCCAAAGAAATCCCTTTGAGGAAAGGGTTGCGGACCACTCCTTTTCCATCCCCTGTTGGTCACTTTTCTTCTACTTATCTATTGCCAATGTTTCTAATGGGAAAGCATACTCAGGATTTTGATGTTGAAATCAAGGATGTTGCAACAGAATGAATAGCAGATCAAAAATATATTTTCCCAGTTCACTAGGAGCCATGCTTTCCAACACACTGCTAGCACAGAAGGTTAGCATGCAATCCACAACTTAGTCTTCTCTTGCTTCACAGGCGATGAGTCTCAGCGTCTGCTGACGCAAGATAAGAGATTTATGTTAACGGACAAAAATGAGGTATTCCAGGAAACAGAAGACTAAAGAAAACACTTCTAGAAAGCAAATTCACTAACAAATACAAGAGGTATCAACAGAAACAGTGACAGTTTGTTACTGATGCTACGCTTCAGGAATTAGCAAAATAGTCAAAATACCTATAAAGATTGATTCATAAGGGGACATGTATCAAAACAGAACAGTTTTGTGCTTCCTGGAAAAGTATCTCTATTCTAATTAAGGCCACCTCCAAGGTTTAAAGCATCTGATTTAATCCTTGTCTGCACAAGAAAATCTGTGTCATTTAGCTAAGCACTACTTGGACAGTTCTATATAAACTAAGACGACGACCTCTGTGAATACACTCCTAACATTGATTAAGTATTTGCTTAAATCAGTTTGGCACATAGCAATCATTTACTGAGGTACCTTCTTATTAGCATACCTCTGCAAGTTTATTAGCTTAACCTGTCAATTTAAAATTCAACTTCTTAAATGGTGCAGAGTCTCATAGCTGAAGCCTTAGGAATGACAAAAAGTTATTGCAGTTACCTCCCATCAGCCGCTCTACAACATTACTTCATGCACAGCACATACTCCTTCCCTCTTGTGCAGCAAGAGAAATGATTTTTCTCAAGGTAGCCTGCACCGTGGCAAGAGGGGTTAGAGCATGTGCGTGAACAGTCGCCATAGCACAGCCAATAAGGGATAAATTGTCAGTCATAGCAAACTTCAATCTCAGAAGCACAGAGCTTGCAATGCCACGAGAGAAGACTGTAACAGCTCACCTGCCCCCAAATGAATTCGGAGCCAGCAGCGACGTCAAAGTACCTACCTGTGAGCAGTATGGCATAGTGGGGTCTGGACTCCTCCCTACCTGCACACCTATTTCTCACTCATACTACAAGGCATAAAGCAGGCAGTAGGAAGTCCTGAGGTTCCCTGCATTCGGGGTTCCTAACTCGTGTAAACAGTGGAAAAGTTGATTCACCCCCAAGCACTGTATTCCAGTTTCAAACACGCAAAGTATCTGGCTGCAAAATCCCTAGTCTGCCAAGAAAGGGCTGCGATACAGCATGCCGCTCTTACGGGCACTTTGATCCATACTGAACATTTTGGTAACACCGTTAGTTTAACCTACAGACTTAGCATATTATCACATCTCAGTGAAGGAGTTCAGAAGTTCATACAACGTATCTGAAACTTAGTATTCCTGAAGTCAACTTTTGACTGAAACAGTATCACCACCGTCATATTTTTCCCCCTTTTGGTGCAGTGTATTTCCAATTTTTACAGAGTTTTAAAATAAAGTATTTACACTAATTATTAAAAAATGCTGACTCACATGAGAAACATGCTAGAGCACAGCTGAAGGATGCAGCAGATACTATTAACTCTTACACAAAATGAGCTGAACAAATACATTTACTCATGCTGCTAAACACTGGTTTAACAGCCAAGGCCTTTGTACTGACAGTACTTTATACATTAACTCAGTAGCTGCAACAGCAGATGCATTCATCTCCATAACCCACCATATGTTTTGAAAAGAAACCTTAGATAAGAATCAAGACAGTTTTTCTACCTCCCACACACAGTAACAGTGATTGAAAGAGACTTCACCTCTGTAATTTTTGAGAAAGAAAAAATTTATTTCTGCACTTGAAATACATGAGCATACTTTTGCTCTTCAACAGCAACAGCAGCATTGCAGCAGCTCTCCAAAATGAATGGTACTAAAGAAAATGACTTGATTTTAGGGATACCTGTAACTGTAGTACTGCCTAGCCAAACAGATGGTACTGTTTAGGAAGTCCATAAACTGAACCGTCACAGAAAGGAATGATTATATTTTTTCAAATTTTTACTTTTTCCCTTCGAGCTGGAAGTCTCCCCTTACCTCTCTGCTCCAGTAATCAACACACAG